AGAAGAGTAAAATGGTGAGAAATCAAAGGAAGAAGCACTATCCACATCAAAGCAGCCTGTCTTTCGGTTCCTCTCAAAATGCCGCAGAAGACCCAGGCAGAGGTCCTCCACAAACAGCATAAGGCAAAATATAAGGAAGAGCTTTTGCAGCAACCTATCACTAATTATGACACTGGAATACATTTTTAATTGGAACAGAGTGATACTGTTTATCACCAACTGAAACCTTTTGTTTTAGACCTGTTTGCTTTGAAACTGAATCGAAACAAATAGAAGAGACCAGAAACTTACTTGATACTTGTTGTCAACTCTTTAGCAACTCCTCTCTTTCCCTCAGCATTGACAAAAGTGGTAAATATCCCACTAAGAAGAGACCAGTAAATCTAGTGAGATGCATAATGTTGCTATGGGAATTTATGAATAGCAGTAACAACTGTTCGTAGTAGGATATTTACCCTTTGTCAATACTGAGAGAAAGAGGGGAGTTGATAAGAGTAATGGTTGTTATACTTTCATGTACTAATGGCATTGTAAGCTGTGACCTTTTTCTTTGAAGGCATTTGAGAATTAGAATAGTCAGTTGATTGATTGGTTGATTGATTGGTCCTCTAGATATAAGCATAACCCATGAGTATGGGTTTTATTATACCTTGGCTGTGCTAGCTGCAGGAACGTTTTGTGGTGTTGCGTAACTTACTTGATACTTGCTTTCATGATTAACAGAGAACTGTTTATGTTTTATATTCAGGTAGTATGTGCAATGGCATTAAAGTCAATAACGTTGAGAATTGCTTAAATAATGCATTACATTAAAAATAAACCAATTCGACATTATTCAGGTGACTAAAATACAACTAAAAATAAAAATGAATTTAGTCAAAAGACTAGCAGGGCTACTCACAAAAGGGTGAAGAGTTTGGAGAAGACAGAAGTGAACAATCTAGGACAAACATAGCTGATTTGGAAGAATTCTCCAATTCAGCTCACTTTCCTGTTCAGTGATGTTGTCCTAGTTTGTTCACTTCTCCAAACTCTTCACCCTTTTGTGAATAACCCTGTAAAACTGAGACTAAAATGAAATTTGCTGTCAAAATTTAACACCGTTGTGTTAACACCCTGAAAACAGTATGGTCAACTGGTCAAGAAACTATCACAATAAAAACCTAGTTAGCATAAGTGTGTTAAATAACATCAGCCAAAAGAATTTCCTTCAGCACATGAGCTTTCATTCACATATACCCCAAATATATCTGCTTCGATCATATTTTACAACACTAGGCTGTACCTGGAACTTTGACTATTTCAGTGGGTAGTAGAGGTTCTAAAACTTGCTAGTTGAATGAAATGGTATGAGTTTTAGTATCAGCTTGTGCAGATCAGGTACAATGAGAAAGGATCAAAGTCTTTACCAAGTAATTACAGACCTGTATGTCTAGCTTCAATAGTTGGGAAGATACTTGAAAGTTTGATCAAGGATCACATGCACTTGTTTTTGCTTGAAAATAATATCATAAGTGATAGTCAGCACGGATTTACAAAAGACAGAAGTTGTCAAACAAACCTACTTTCTTTTTATGAGGAAGAGAGTAATAAATTGGACAGAGGAGTGGCTGTGGATATACAGTTTGGACTTTGCAAAAGCGTTTGACACAGTTCCCCACATGCGGCTAATGTACAAGTTAAGGTCAGTAGGCATAAAGTATTCGATCTGTAATTGGATAGAAAACTGGCTTAAAGACCGTATTCAGAGAGTGGTGATCAATGATTCGTACTCTGAATGGTCTGAGGTTGAAACTGGTGTCCCCCAAGGTTCAGTGTTGTGTCATTTACTGTTTAATCTATTTATACATTATATAGAATTGGGAACTAAAAGTACTATTTCTGTGTTTGCAGATGACACCAAGTTAAGTAGTGGAATACAGTCCTTACAGGATTTCTCCAATTTACAGGCAGATAGATCTGAATGCTCTGTGTGATTGGGCATCTCTCTGGCAAATGAGGTTTAATGTTGACAAATGTAAAGTTATGCACTTGGGGACTAAAAACATGCATGCGTCATACACTCTAGGGGGAGTATGTTTGGGGGAGTCAATGGTGGAGAAAGATCTGGGTGTTCGGGTAGATCATAGACTGAATAATAGCATGCAATGTCAAGCTGCAGTTTCTAAAGCAAGCAAAATACTTTCTTGTATTAAAAAGAGGTCTAGACTCCAGAGATAGAGACATCATCCTGCCCCTGTACAAAGCATTAGTAAGACCTCATCTAGAATATGCAGTTCAGTTTTGGGCACCAGTTCACAAAAAGGATGTTGTGGAGCTGGAGAGAGTGCAGAGAAGGGCAACTAAACTCATAAGAGGCATGGAGGAGCTCAGCTGTGAGGACAATGTATAAATACATAAATGGTCCATATAAAGCGCTTGGTGCCAAATTATTCACTTTAGTGTCACTGCAAAGGACAAGGGGGCACTCTTTGTATCTGGAGGAAAAGAGGTTTAACCTTTCCATATGGAAAGTGAAAATGTGGAATAGACTCCCCCAGGAGCTAATTATAGATAGTTCAGTTACCTGTTTAAAAAAAAATAAAAAATCTGGATGTAGTCCTAAATGCACAGAATATTACTGGATATTGACTTCTTACAGGTAAATGAATCCCGAGAGACTTCAGCGATTGAACATCTCTTGCACCCTTAACTTCTTTAAGGTACTAATGAACAATACATCTATGAATAAATGTGATAAGGTGTTATATATTTTGCATGTAGTGTTTGCTTGCAAATAGGTAATTCTTTAGAAGACAGTCTTGTTGTCAACTACTTACTTGTCACATGTTCATCACATGAGAACTGTATATGTATGGAGAGCAAGTAATGTGGGTACAAAAATCATTTGCAGCCCCAGATTATGCTGTATAAACTGTGATTTGCATCCGTCAATATTTATTCAAATACCATCTTTCAGTGAATGATACGGCACATCCTCTTGACCTGAAGCAGTCTCTTTTATTTAAAAAAAACTCTGCTGATATATAAAGTGTATTTCAAAAAGGCCCCAGCAAAAAAAGATTCCTACCTTCCCTCTTGAAAAGCAATAACCATTGAAGAATCTTCTGCATATGCCAGACTCCTGCTGTGTTGGATTTGTGGTCCCCCGGTGAGCTCGGTGGGCCCATCAATACTAAGCCCCTATACAACTACAAGGCCAGTAAAGAAAAAATATTTTTTGCCAGGGCCTTAAATAAAATTAAAAAAAAGGCAATTGAGTCGCTTACTGAACCTGAAGATCAGCGCTGTGTGACAGGACAGGTATGTGGAAAAAAGGGGTTAAGTGCATATATAGCAAAACCCTTTTTTAAAATTAGTTTTGCATAGCGTAGGGAAAGTTTAAAACCTTTCAGTCTTTTTATGCGGTCTCTCTCACATTAGGGGGATTTCCCCTTTACTTCCTGTCACAGAGACGCAACAAGAAATCTCTCCTTAGACAGCTGTCACTGAAACAGATTTGTCTGTAGAAAAATGTAAGCTCAGTTCTGCTGACAACTCTCACATTTGGAATTTCCCCCCACTTTTTGTCTCAAAAAGTGGGCAAACACAGGGTGAATTGTCTCAGCAGGGATACAGACCGCGAAGGAAACCCTGACTGTGGTACCAGCCCTTCTATACTCTAGGCAGATGCACCACGTACGCACACACACAAACACATTTTCCTTTAAATATTTTGGTGACATATTTTAATTGAAATAGTTTAGTAGAAATGCAGATAGGAGACTGCTATCCAAGATTAAGCAGAAAACACCCCCTTCAGAGCAAGGGTCAGACTTATCAAGGGTAAGACTTGTGAAAGTGACAAGGCTTCTAGATGGCACAGTTATCTTCTGTCCCTTCATTAGTGGAAGACATGACCCTGCAGACCCCCTGTAACCACCCTCCGCACTTTATTGCGGCATATCATTAAATAAGCTTGTTTGAGGATAGCAGCATTTGATCTGCAAAAATGTGTGACCCATTCCATATTTTTAACTACAACTGTAACATGCTTTGTCTTAAATGCAACATCACATAAACTGACAACAGCACTACAACACTGACATATTATGTAATATTTAACATTTGTCTAAAAGTAATTTAAATTGGGGGTAAAGGAAACGCATAAAAATTGCATGTTGATGCTCATTAATGTGGGCCGTAGTGCAATGTATAAAAATGTCAATGTGTGTTGGTGCTACCAGCGTATGCATTGACATGTTTTTCATTCATTGAATACGTTTTAATATATGCACATTAGGATTACAAGAAAAAGCATTACATCTATATCCTGACCCAGGATTGTTCAGAGGAGCTTTTTTTTCTTTTTTAGTTTCTATACCCTTGGTTCAGCTTTCAGCAATTCCCAGCTGGAAGACTTTCAATCCATGACCATTGCGGCTGCACTAGTGTGTGAATGCACAGATCTTAGATTCCATTGTGTAATACTGCAATGAGAGAGCAGGGGGGGATCTGATTTATTATCCAGCAGGTCATTTCAGTTAACAGCAGAGAACACCTTTTTTCTTATGAGTAAGGGACAAAGGGGGGAATTTATCAAAAGCCCATGGCAACCAATCAGCTTCTATCTTCAGTTAAGATTTGAAAATGAAAGATAGACGCTGACTGGTTGCTCCACATTGCAACTAGATACAGTACTTTATTACAGCAACAACTTTGTTATTATGGCATGTGATACCATATTATCAAAGTGACTGTGTTTGTGGATAATCGTTAATACTCAAAACAAACAGATCCAAAGTGGAGTGTGCTTTATGAGATGTAATCATCAGCTAAACATGCATGCTCTTTTCAGCAGACACATTTTGAGGCAGGAAATTTTAGATTGCTGATGCTTCCTAAGGTTATTGGTCGAGGGGGATTTGCACAGGATGAAAATCCCTGATTGATGCATAAACATGGAGTATATTCAGCCAAATGTAGTTTTATTTAAACCACCTAGCATGTTCACTGGTTCCTAATGCTGCATTGGTGCTAAAACAGGGAATTCTGAGGATCATTTATTTAGAGGATAAACAAAAACAATGCACAACAACATAATCTCAAATATTTTACAGAGAAGACGGAAAATGTCTGTGGAGAGCAGTCCCAAACTGCAAGACCACAGGGATGTGATAACTCCACAAATAAAATCCATAACAGACTATGTAAGAAATTTTAGTCATCTTTCAGCAGCCTCCTCTTAGGGCAAGGACCAAATGTAGCACCGAACCACCCTGTATCTTATAATCGGAAGCAGTCTTCTCATCGTTCCTGTAAAAACAAAAATACAAATTAATTGGAACGAGGATGAAATACCCACTAGAGCTGCTAAAGGAAATTAAACTTGAACGAAGAAACTAGGGCTGCAACAACTAATCGACATAATCGATTATAATCGATTATTGAAAAAGTTGTCAACTTTTTCAATAATCGATTAATCGGCTTCCGATCAGTTGGCCCTGTTCACAGCTCCACACGCTGTGCGCTGCACCTCCTCCCCACCTCACGCTTGCCGCTGCCAGACCCGCATCCACGCTCCACACGCCACACCTCCTTCCAGCCTCACACTTACCGCCCACCCACATCCATTGGTGGCTGAATTAGTATTAATTTAAGTTGAGGTTAATTCCCTCCCCCTAATGGCAGCTTCACTGGCCACTAGAAAGGTGGTGGTTTTGATTGGAGCAGAGCTCAGTCTGGTTCTGGATGTACAACCCCAATTCCAAAAAAAGTTGGGATGCAGTGTAAAAGCCACATAAAAATAGAATGCAATGATTTCCAAACCCATATTTCATTCATAATAGAAAACATAACAAAAAAAGGTTTAAATGTACCATTTTAAGAAGAAGAAGAAAAAAAAATTGTTTTGTCGGTTTCGAGTCTTGGAGGACTCTTTTATTAGTGATCCAGCCAAGACTGTGGATATGTTC